CTCAACATTCAGAAAACCAAGATCATGGCATCTGGTCCCATCACTTCATGGCAAATAGATGGGGATGCAATGGTAACAGTGAGAGACTTTATTTTTCTGGGCCCCAAAATCACTGCAGATGGTGACTGCAGCCATAAAATTAAAAACCTTGCTCCTTGTAAGAAAAGCTATGACCAACCTAGACAGCATATTAAAAAGCAGAGACATTACTTTGCCAACAAAGTAATAGTTTTGTTGTCCATCTAGTCAAAGCTGTGGTTTTCCCAGTGTTTATGTATGGATGTGAGAGTTGGACTATAAGGAAAGCTGAGCACTGAGGAATTGATGCTTTTGAACTGTGGCATTGCAGGAGGCTCTTGACATTCCCTTGGACTGCATAGAAATCCAACCAGTCAATCCTAAAGGAAATCAGTCCTGAATATTCATTGGAAGGACCGATGCTGAAGCTGAAACTCCAATACTTTGGCCACCTGATGCGAAGAACTGACTCATTGGAAAAGACCCTGATGCTGGGAAAGATTGAAGGCAGGAGGAAAAGGGAATGATAGAGAATGAGATGGTTGGATGGCATCACCAATTCAATGGACATGAGTTTGAGTAAGCTCTGGGAGTTGGTGATGGACAAGGAAGCCTGGCAAGCTGCAGTTCATGGGGTCACAAAGAGTTGGACAGGACTGAGGGACTGAACGTATTCTACTTAACCTAAGGTCAATTAGTAAATTACCTGCTGGGGTTGGGCAGGTTGGGGAGGAGTGGGGTGGAAAGTACAGAGATGATAATAAGAAACACCATCCAGGGAACTGACCTGCACAGCCTCACGGACATTTTATCTATCTGTGTGTAATATATGTGTCACCTGAAATTACTCTTGTTCATTGAGGAAGTAATGTCATTGTCCAGCAGAAAGTGATTGATGAATACTTAATCCTTTGTGTCACAATTCTGAGGTTTCCTCTTATACAATAATTTCCTTTTGATGGTAGGAGATGTGATGTAATTTTCAACCAATAAAAGTGTAGCCTTGAATATTAATTATTAATATATTGTATCTCCAGCCATCCAGCAGGTGATCAAGTAATAGTAGGACAGGACATGGGAAGTTTTGGTGGAGGGGTATATTTTGTGAGGTCCCAGAGTATAAGAAATCACAGCAACTATTGGGGAGAAGAAGATAGACATGGATGTACTGGTTGATTTTTCTCAATGTCAACTTTGTATCTGTGTCGCTGTTGCTGTGCTGTGCTCAGACCTGTCTGACTCTTTGCGACCCCAAGAACTGTAGCCCACCAGGCTCCTGTGCCCATGGAATTTTCCAGACAAGTGTACTGTAGTGGGTTGCTATTTTCTACTCCAGAGGTTCTTCCAGACCCAGAGATTGAACCCTCATTTCCTGCAGTGCTCGGCAGATTCTTTACCTCTGCACCACTTGGGAAGCCCCGTCTATGTCACTGCAACTAGTTCACTCCAGCAGTCATTCTTTGCCCTTGTTATTTGACTCATAAATTGTTCTGTCTTGTTTATTAT